GATTTAAGGTATACCAACATATAAGCAACAAAAGCAAAAAAAGAACTGATATGATTGACATGAAGGAAATAAATACAGGATAAGATCTGCACAATCTTATGCATACAATATTGTTCAGACAGTGAACCTGAATACTGTTATAGTGCAGATGAAACTTAACCAATTATTATTGCAGAAAACACAAAGCAAATAATTATTTCATGTTATCAGCACACAAAGAGAAAAAAATATGCAATAGTTGGCGAACAAAAAAGAATGTCATCATGTAATTGTTTATCTTCCACATTTATTCTCTACGTGTTGTCAGCATAAAAGAGGAAAGTTTCCAGTATAATCTCTTGTGCATAAGATGATTCCAACCAATGATTTTTGTCATAAGAAAATATGTTAGTAGCATAATACAGAGCTGAAAGACGGGAACCAAAAAAAGTAAAAAAATAAGCCACAATATCTCACCATTTTGTGATGCATGTAATACAGTAACCCTTTTTATTGCACTTAGCGCATCTCACGACTCTTCCTTTGTCGTTTCTGCGACATTGATGACAATTATTTGAATCGCTTCTTTTCCTCTGTCACACCCAAAGAAAAAAAATATTAACACAGGAACTCATTGTCCTCACTTTTGAATATCTTACTTCATGAAGTGTATTAGATGAGATTTATAGTTCGGGATATAATCATCAGTTCATCACTAAGACCTTAACTTCTAAAAAAGTAGTAGAAAGAGAAAGTTGATACAAGACAATTGCAGGGATATCCGAATTTTGCAACCGATCTACTTATATCAATTCTTATTCCGCTTTTAGAACATTGATTTGAAGTTGAAAAAAAATTGTTAAAAGGGAAAATAAAATTTTGTTCATAGTTATGAAATGGTCAAGGATATGAAAGACTACACAGAAGGCAACATGTTTTCCTTTTCTCATTTTTGTTTTCGATAGATCTGTCACAATTAACATTACTAGTTTACCTTTAAGTTGGGTTCGTTCATCTGCATATTTCTAGCAGAAGATGCATCTTCATTTGTATTTCTCCACGGCATCATTTCAACTCCTAATTGTCTTTACAAATCTTGTTTTTCAATCGTTTTCTCAATCAGGGTACCACGTTCTCTTAACTGCAATGGCAAAAATGTATGCATAATTGTTCCAGGGAAAACCAAATAAGGATATGTTTTACCAGCAAAAAAGGAAAATTGTGTTGATTACTGTAATCCGATACTGCTCACTGCAATCTAATGCTGACTATTGCAATTTTATGCTTATTAGTACAATCTTATGCAGATTCACAGAATATATAAATAATTTTCCTTTTCACCGACCAAAAATGATTTTTTTACTTACCATGCCAGTAAATTGGAGGAATCCAGGAAGAAAATCTAGAATTAGCATTCCTTAAGAACATTTTAGGTAAATATTTATTTTATATTATTGCTACTTACTACTTATGCACATTCACAGGATATACAAATAATTTTCCTTTTCACCGACCAAAAAAGTTTTTTAACTTGCCATGCCTGTAAATTGGAGTAAATCAGGAAGAAAATCTAGAATTAGCATTCCTCAAGGACATTTTAGAAAAAAAAAATGATTTTATATTATTGCTCTTACTACTTATGCACACTGAAAATGAAACTGGTCCTAGTTCTCCCTAACCACTAAAACAATCACCAAAAGGAGGAATAAAAAAACTAGTCCAAAATCTAATCTTCAAAATCAAGATGACAACAAACACATATTCTTTTCTAATCTAAAATAAAAAATATCGTGTAAATCATAAAAATGAAACATGAAAGTGATGAAAATTAGACAGCGGGAGAGAGTTAGACACCACTCAGTTAATCAAGTTTAAGAAAAAAATGGAAAACCAACAAAAAATTATATAAAAACATAGGCATCCTTCAAACACAAAATGAAGTAAAATCACCTCAATCAGATGACAAACTCCTCGATTTTGAACCTTTGATAACAGAAAATGAGGAGATGGGGATGGAAAATTGAACAAGGGCTTAAGAGATGCAGAAAATGTACGAGAAAGTAGAATGGGAATAGGGAGGGGAGAGTAAAATTTATTTGTGGGAAACTCCGCCAATAAAAGCGATAACGTCAGCATTGATTGTATCGACCCCTAATAAATTGCTTCATATCCAATGACGATGCCAGCTAATTTTACATATTAGCAGTTGCACCAATCGTAGCTGGCAGCAAAATGACATTTGGCGAGATATGAAATGTACCATACAGTCTATTGTGAACTTCCGTGAGCCATTAATTTAGTTTACCTAGGTATGAAAAAATAAAAAACTCAAGGCTGAACAACCCAAGACCATTGCTAAAAAGCTCTTCTGTGATAAAAATTCGGCCTCGTTTAATTTTATCGTGCTCTTTCTATCGTGCTTTATCTTCTATATGATTCAGCCTGGTTTCATTGTATCATAATTAGCCAATATTATAATAGAAAAGTATAAAAAAACTAGTTAAATGCACTCCTTAAATGCATAAGCAAACTAGTGACCAATAAATCATTGCAAACTAGTTGTTAACCGGTACCACAGACACAATGCCAGAACAGTGGAAATCAGAATTTCAATTGTTTTATTACCATGACACACAAAAGAGTCCTATTTGATGATTATCTTGCATTTCTTAAGTTTGTTATCTTATATTAAGTCAAGGGTTCAATTCTCTTTGGGAACGGGTTGTAGGCCATTTATAAGGCCAATGTTTTTTTTTAAGAAACTACAGCACATGCTGCCAGAAAAAAACATTTACCAACTGGGCTAGTGTATACAAGGGCTTCTTGACTGGTCTCGCTTTCTTTCTAATTTTTTTTTTCCTAAAACCAAATTTCTCTTGAACCTATTGACGAGTTAATCATAGTATATCCTGGAAACTCATCTCATAACTTGATATTGTGCATATTATATTTGATCAATACTTGAAAAATAGTAATTGAAAAAACTTTAAATAACTCATAGTATCAGATGAAGCACTTTTCGATCATTTGACACTCAACAGAGCACTACTAAGACTACTCTTCAACATCCAGACTAAAATATTACCTGATACTGAAAATACATCTCTCGCCAACTCTCGATCATGGCCCATATTCCTTCAAATAATGAGAAGTAAAATTAGTAGGAACCATCAAGTTACAAAGAAGATGAGATAAATAACTTTTGGACAAGTCATTTCCTATAGAGAATACGAGTTCTAACTAAGGACTAAGACACGACAATAGATAGCCACGCATACGGGCTTGTAAGACACAGAACCTAAGACGCTTTTCTATAACCTACAACCATCAAATGTCTTGGGGAGGTAAAAGTTAATACATGACAATAGAAATTGCAGCGGTTGACAAATTTACGGTATAATGATATGAAACAACGAAAAAAGTATCCTTTGTAAATTTATAGTTCATGGAAAAACAAAATCACAAATAATCACTTAAACATATAAATTGATATAATACTGAATCTCCCATGAGTTCAATTAGGTATGAGGTTCCCCAATTAATCCGACCAAGTGGAAATTGATTAACACACTGCAATCAGAAAAAAAAAAGGCATAGAGAAAGGCAATTGCATTTTCATATAATTCATCAAAACACTAAATTTCATGGCTTACAATCTGGGAATAGCCATCCTATCAGTAAATATATCTCCCACCACCATAACCACGGCGGCGAGCGTAGCCGGAGCACATTAACCAATACAGTAGTCGTATTGTTGGAATGCCTGTTATTTTCCCATCTCCTCTTCACCAGCTCCAACCTCGATTTACCGTGCGCCGAGAAATAATTAGGCGAGGGATAACGGCCGGTGGCGGCGGCGGCGACGACGGTGGGCATGGACATTGCAACTGCCACGGTGCCACCTATGGGTTTAATCTGGGGAGGTGGGGAGATTACAACTGATCGTCGGAAAAGCAATTTTATTTGATCATTTTCTAAATAAATTAAACTTCAAACCCCTCAAGTAAGCGGTAATAAGACTTTAACCCCTCTAACTAACAATTGTTGCAGTTAAACCCTACTATAATTTTTTTCGAGTTGAAGAACCTACAAAAAAAATTCATCAAATCACACCATGGAAGAGACTTCGATTGCTATTTGAATCACTCTTGAAACCCGTTATTCAATTTATTCCAATATTTATCATGATTCCGAATTTTATAACATCTTCTAAAATTCGAAATTAGACGAAATATTATAATGAGTATTGGCACTAGCTCATCGTTAAGTTAAAAGTAGGCAATAAATCATATCACTCTCCTACTTTTTATTCGTAATGAACCTAAGATAACGAAATTATGAAAATTAGTTCCATTATTTTTTATTTTATTGTTACATAAATTATGTGCTAGAAAAAAGATAAAATAAAATGTCATTGCATAAGCAGTTGTGTGATGGTTTGGAAATTTATCAAATTTTTTGACACTCAAGAGTTTTGAAATCCGGATCGGACCGGCCGATTGAACCACGAACTATTGTCTTGTCCGGTCCGATTTGACTGATTGAATCATAAGATCGAAATTTCAGTGAAAATCAGATTTTTTTTGCCTAAAATTGTTTTTTTTAATAAAAATAAACAAATAAAACGGCCAAAACGACGTCTATTTACTGCACAGTTGAAATACAAAATTAAAGTATAAAAAATATACAGAAATTGGAAGACGTGTTATTTTTAATTATAATTTCTATAATATTTGAAATGATTTGGTGTGATATGTTGTGTGAAAAAGGAAAAATAAGTTTGATTTACATTTTGGCTGAAAATGGGTAATGCGGCAATGTGGATGAAAGAAAATATATTTTATTTACTATAAAAATTATGTATAAATAATTATAAAATAAAAATGAAAAAACCGGTTGAACTCCGATTGAACCGGTCCAACCGTGATCTAGTACCGTGTCCGGGTCAATGTCCGACCAGGTTTTCAAACATTGATACTCCATCCGTTTTATATTATTAAGAAAATTGAAACTGCTATGATGTTAAAGATATATTTTATAATAAAAAACAAAAAAACATTCATGTCAATTCTGATTCGCCAAAGTCATTATAACTCACAAAAAACGAAAAACAAAAAACAAAGATTGCCCAAAATTTTAGTATGAAAAACGTTAACGCATCGGTAGATATGGTGTCACTGAGACGTAGAAGACTCGGCGGCGGTGGTGTTTACTTTGTTAAGGAGGCGCAAAGTCTCTTGTAAAAGATAGGCTTTCACATGAGGGTCAATAAGGTGGCCTTTTGTTTCGAGAACCAATTTCATTCTCTCCAACTCCCTCTTCATTTCTGCAATACTGGGTATACATACGTATCTTCCCTGGAATAAGAAATGATACGTAGCCGATAAAAAGGATAGAAACGACGTATATATTCACGAATTAAAATTGCAATAAAACATTAAGAGTGCACATAAAGATCTTCACGTCAAGAAACGATTACAAGAAATAAGACCTTAATTGATGATTTAAGCTATACGAAGAACATCGTTATTTTTAGAAAGTTAATTTGTAAATAATCCAACAAACAATAGAACGTAAAACGAGCAAAGGTATCATAACCAATCAAATATTTCACATTACAATTTTTTCGTTTGACGGGATAAATCATAGTAGAGAAGTGCCAGGATTGTAATTACGAAATTTACATTCAGATTGGGCCGCTTCATCTTAATTTTCCCTTATTGGTAACTTCACAATAAAAAAAGAAAAAAAAAAAGGAAAAAAGAAAAAAAAAGGGGGTCATCAGGAAGAGAAGCAAGATAGCTAGGACACAAAAGTCAAAAGTTGGTCGTAGAAAACTAATCTGCAAATCAAAATGACAAAAATATATGATCTCTTTGAGTACTCTTTCTAGTCCAAAGTAAAAGCTGTCGTGTTTTCAAGAATTTCCCAAGAAATGAATATTGCCAGAAAGAAATGGATAAGTTAATCAAACCGGGAGGGGGGATGAAAGATCGGAAAGTACAAAATTCAAAAACAAAAATAAATTGCGTATCTCATAAAACGACATGTCATCTGATTTTGAACCAGAATAAATCAAAAATTATCAATCCGATAAAATAGTTGGAAGATGGAAAATTAAATGTTGATCATTCGAAAACTAAATAAAAAACTTACAAATATATGAGAAAACGACAAGAAGAAAACTGAGAGAGGAATCGAGAGATGGGAGATATGGGAATGACTCGGGGAAGGGAAAACGAGTGTTATATAATGGTGAGAAAATCGACCGTGATAAGGCTGCCCGTCAATGCAGCGATTCGCAATAAATTGTGCCTTATCCAGCCACGCCACACCAGCTCATCTAACGTATCAGCATTGACCAATCTTAGCTGGTAACAATATACATTTTGGAAAGATATAAAAAATACCGGACGGGTTTGAGAGTACCTTACTACGTTTGGTGAATTTCTCATGAGCACCTAAGCCCAATATCCACTGCTAACAGGCCTGTGCATTCAGCAAACACAACATTAGCAAACAGGAATATCAATTTGCCTTTTCCCAAACTTAATACTAAATCAAAAAAACGGAAACATTAGCCTGCATCATGCCGAAACCAACTCGAAAATTCTCAGGGCCTTCGAAATTCATGAAATCGGACAAAAGTATGGCTCAAAATTATATAAATAAAGTATAGTTCCACAGATGAAAATGTCAAAATATTATTCAGGCTAACCATTGAAAATGGTGTAACTAAGATGAAGAAGAGCCGCCAGCACTGGAGTTTATTTTGTTAGTGAGGAGCGTAATCTCTTTTAAGAGATAGTCTTTCATATGCGGTTGAAAAAGGTGGCCCTTCGTTTCGAGAGCCAATTTCATCCGCTCCAACTCCCTCCTCATTTGCAAAATACTAGGTTTCTCCCCTTGTTGAGCTGGATTTTGGCGTACATTCCCATGCTCAAAGGGGGGTGCAAATGGACTTCTTAACGTAATACTGGGAAAGAATAAAATAAAATGAATTAACATCGTATCAAAGACATATGTTTAACAAGCCTATGTATATATGACTTACTCGTCAATCTTGTCCAAGTACTGTACAGCTTGGCAGACAGCACTGAGAACCAATCCCTTCACCTGTTTCTTACGAGACGTTAGATGTCGTCCACAATCTTTGTTTTCTTACAAGCAGACAAATTTTATTCATTATATATCTTTGATTTTGTTTATTGACAAGACTATCATATTTTTGACATACCTGCAACTTGTCTTCCTTAAAACTATGATATTTGGGGAGACGCCGATACTCCGTTGATAGGCGGATGCACTGACCGACGCTTTCTGCTGAAACAAAGTCGATAGAAATACTTGTGCACGACTGCAAGATGGAACATCGTACACAAAAGTTAATTGCAAAATTCACAGCGAAAAATTTACATTCGACTGAAAATAATTTAAGTCGTCGTTCACGAAGTTGTATACGAGTCAAACACTCAAACCTTTAGGTTTCTAGCTTGGTGAGGGCAGCCAGCTGGTACCAAAACTGCATCGCCTAATCTCTGGACAAAGGTCCATGGTTCAATTCCTACAAAAAAAAATATATATAGAAATATAGATAATCAATATACATAGCAATTCACACATATACCACTTTACAACACAATAAAGACATACCATATTCCTCTTTCAGCTTCCTTTTATGCTCCATTGTTAAGTAAAATGCTTTCTCATGAATAGGATGAACCAGCTGTGCACGAATAGAGGAAAAAATAAATTAGTAATATTCCAAAACATATCGATACTTTGGAAAAATAAAAGACATCTATCTACTTATGCTACGACAATAAGAGATCATACCAAAAGCTTAACAAAATTTTGATTTTTAGAATTCTGTTAGAAAAATAATAGTAATTACCATATGAGAGATAAAACCCCATAACAGAATAAGTTGAGTAGAACATTGTTTTCAAAGTCAAGATTTAATTACTTGCTGCAAAGGGACGACACGCCTGAACTCTTCGTAATGCCTCCGAAGATAGTCTTCCAGCTTAGGAACATCTTGCCTCCGAAAAATGTCCCAGATAGCACCACATTTTTGGTCATCGAATCTTTGATCGTTGTTTCCTGAGGTTGAAGGATCAAATTTTTCCTTTCCTTTATTTTTATTTTCCCTTTCAAATTGTTGATTTCTCGTAGCTTCTTGATTTGCTTTCCCAGTGCTTACAGAAAATACCACTGGATCTTGGGCAATGTGCTTCCTTCCCAACTCCACTACTGTTGAAAGTTCTTCCGGATTAAACCTTTAGATTTCTAACTTGGTGAGGGCAGCCAGCTGGTACGTTGCCGAATCTGTAGGACAATTTTCTTTGTCCTTATTGTGGCATTGATGACAGTTGTTTGAGTCACTTCTTTTCCTCTGTCATACCCAAAGACAAACATGTTGACATAGGAATTCATTGTCCTCACCTTTTGAATATCTTACTTTACGAGAGTGAAATTATAAGAGATCTACAGTTCCGGATATAACCCTCTAAAAAAGAAATAGATAGCTTCCTTCCATTTCACATAGGTATCTAATGTAAGATCTCTTGATTAAGTTAATTAAGATAAGTTTATATACTAAATCATTTCGTGACTGAAGACTAGATATTTTTTATGAAAAACAACAGATCCCTGTTGTTCTCTGTTTATCATTCTTTGATTCTGAGAGATCTGTCATGATTGACACTTAACGAAATTTACCTTAATATTGAGCTCGTTCCTCTGCATATTTCCAGCAGAGGATATTTCTTCATCGATAACTCTACAAGGAAAAAAAATCATTAGAAAGAGAAACAACATAACTATGACATAAAAACTTGTCCTAGAAAACTAATCTTCAAATCAAGATGAGATCTATCATTAATCCAAAGTATAAATGAATGAAAACTGGACAAAAAGAAATGGACGGAAACAACTAGGCGACCGAAAAATCGTAAATTACCAAATTCAAAAAAAAATGATGCAAATCAAAATCCTTGAATCCGAGAAAATGATTACACGATGGAGAAATGAAAGTTGAATGCAGCTAGAGAGGGGGGTGGGGGGGGGGGGGGGGTGGGGTTGTTTGTAACAAGAATAAGAAAAAAATGTATGCATCATTCAAAAACAAAATAAAATTAAATACTTACAAATATAAACACAAATCTCATCTAATTTTCAACCAAAAATAAAGCAAAATCCTTAAATCTGAAAAACTGATGAGAAGAAAACTGAAAGAGGAATAGAGAAATGGAGATATGGTGAATGAATTGGTGCACGGAGAATGCGTGTTATATAATGGTGAGAAAATCTGCGGTGATACGGTCGACAGTCAATTGCAATAAATTCGGACTTATCCATCCACCAACTCACCAACTCATTTGCCGTATTAGCATTAACAATTCTTAGCTGGCAGCAACATACGGAAACAAAATATATTGGATGGGCTTGACAGTACCTTACTACGTTTTTAACTTCTACGAGCCATTTCTTGGATTTCTTATCGAAGCCCAATATTCACTGCTAATGCTAATAGGCCTGTGCATTCAGCAAACCCAAAATTAGAAAACAGAAATATCATTTTGCAATTTGCAACACTTAATACCCAAAACCAAACAATTTGGTTTGGTTCGGTAAATTCATAAAGATCCAGGGAGAACTGAATTGCAGACAAAATGAGTTATACCAAACATATTTTGATGCTGAAAACCGATTGCTATTCTTGGTATCGATTGCTCTTTGGAAATTTCAAAAAAAAATATCTCGATCTTGAGTGCTCTTCCAAATGTATTAAAAAAAAATATCTTTTAAACTTATTAACTTGCATTTTCTTTGGTGGAAGAAAAGAAAAAAAACTAGCTAATAATAAAACATGACAATACATGGAAAAATCCTCTTCTTCAATCATATATGTACAAGAGAAGGATTTTCTGAAATGAGAATGGAAGCCAGGAAGGAGATTGACCAGAAATTGATTGAAAAAAGAAAAGAAAAAGAAAAGCACAGTTCAGTTGCGTAAACTTGAACCAAAAGTATCAGCACCGAACCAAAACTGTGAAATATGGAAAACGAATATCAAACAGGATAGCAGTTCAGTATTCGGTACAAACTAAAGCTTTGGTTTTGGTTCGGTCGGTTTACCAAACGTACACATCTACACAACTGCTAAGGTCAATTTTGATATCATATTAGTCAGCCTATTTATCAAGTTTATCTTGATTTCTGCTCAATAAGCTAAAGAAGTGCCAAGTTATACAGTCCAATAAAAGGTTAATATAGATATTTGATTTGTTTTGATTAGATGCATATAACTTTGGAGCTCAATTCAAACTTTTGTAGCGCCGATACCAGATTAAGATCAAACAACTTATGAGCATTTTTTTTGCACCTATAGATTTACTATTGACACATTTTCATTTAATCATGAGTAATCCTTATAAGTTAAAATTATTTCAATTATTCTTTTAAATCCGAAAACGCGATAAAAAAAAAGATGCAACTACGATGTCCAGTGTACCAAGAGTTAGTTTCCCATTTTTCTTTCTCATGAAATCTTAAAGCTGAAAAATATAAAGTTAGCTAATCAGAAAAGTTTTATGTAATATGAGCTGCTTCTACCAACTATGAGATTATTTTTGAGAAAGAGCATTATGCAACTAAAGTACACTGCTGCTTAAACAGCCCTGTGTGGTTCAACACTTCAATACGTATTTTCGGACAAACTAGTTAACCATCCAATACATAAAAACAAATGTAAGCTCATTAACCAAATATTCCTCTAATAAAGCTACGACCAAATACTATAACATAAAATATCCTGAAAATGAAAGTTCTTATTTTCCATTCTCGACTATAAGCTATATTGTTCCTTATGCACAAGCCATACAAATGATCGAAATCCAAGACTTTTTGGTTATTGGAATTTCAACTATTTTATTACCACGGAGCATAAAAAGTGTCCACAAATACATAACACAATTTGAGGAAATCTACTTTCTTCAATACCATAATTAATTATGTTCAATAATGAATATTTACATCAAGCAATTATCAAAGTCTCTCAAGAGAAAAAAATTTCGCTCTCAAAAATATTTTGGCTTCGTTGGTTAACAAGATAGATCATGATTAATTATATCTTATTTCATGTTTAGTTAATTCAATAATTTTAGGGAGCATCGTTAAAAATTGAAAAATAAAATTGTGCCCTTATCTTATAGATTATTTGTGCATATATACAATTGGACCCTAATAAAATTAAAATAATCTTATCTTGGTCACCGCACTGTAATAATCAAACGAGGACATAATCAATTTGATAGTACATCATTCGTTGTCAAAACATCCAGAATTGGTGCTTCATACAAAATTATCTTTCTCCACTATAAATTTCTCATTGTTTTGAGTAGCATTTATAGGTAGAAATTGATCATCGTGAAGTTCGCATAGCATTTGCATATCTTTTATAACTGATTGTGTCAATTTTATTGTGCGTATGTGTACAAAAAGGTTCTTCCAAATGCATTTTTCACAATAATGCACACTCTTAAGACACCCTTAGAGCACTTTGGTTAATACATACTTTATTGACCGCGTAACACCGTAAACAATCATTAAAATTACAAATATTACCACATCGGACGGGTCTCTCTGCAAAAGCCCTTCATCCTTAAATTCTCAATAAGGAAGATCTTTTTACAATAATAAGCAAATCGTGAAGATTTTTAGATGTATCACTGTTTAATGGTGCAGAAATATTGATGTGATAACGCGTGTGAGGTGCTATAAATTTAGTGTTGCTTAGAAGTGAAACAGATTAATGTTTTAGTGCAGGAGAAAATTTTATTTTGTCAGAACAGAAAATGTGAAGTAACTAATTTTTCCTGACTCAGTAAGTAATTCACATCATATATATACTCATTTCTCAGTCATATTTGAAATATGAAAAACACTTTTCTAACACTAATAACTTTGAAAGTCAGATATACGTAGTTGAATTCTTCTCGATGCAATAACTAGAGACCAACCGAGGAATGTGATTATATATGCTTTCTGCGTGCATCTATCCAAGTGCGTTGTCAGTATAATGAAAGAAGCTTCTAACTAAAATTTCAACAGAAGTTTTTACGTTCTAAACAAGATGGAAGCTTAGATGGCACCAAGTTAGGAAGTAACGATAGCATCCTAAAATCAGAATTTCAACCAAATAATTTCCTAAAATCAGAAATTCTCTAATAGCAAAATCAATTAGGGTACTAACGAGAACTGAAAGTGCAATAACACGTCTCATATAATTCATTCTCTCTCCAACTTCTTTACAAAACAAGATATTCAAAAGTGAGAAGTATAGATTTTTATGTTAACATTTTTGTCTTCGAGTATGATAGAGTGACTCAAACAATTGTCATCAATGCCACAAGAATGATGAAGAAATAGTTTTATGATGCACCAAATGCAATAAAAAGAACCATCCACCATTCCATGCATTATTAAATGTTGAGAACTTTTGTTGTTGGAGACATTTTATACTTCAATGCTCAATTGTTAGACACTACTAAAATCTTTTGTGTCGTGGAAATTCTTCGGCTTTGACAATTTGGAAGCCTACGTCACAAGATTGGTTCTAGTCAAAGAATTTCCAGATGCAAAAGATATAATTTTAGTAGCATAACATAAAACTGAAACACTGGAATGAAAAGCATCTTCAACAACAAACTTATTCACAACTTAGTGATGCTGAGAACGCAATAATCCTTCAAACTGCATTTGATGTATCTAACAACTATATATTTACCACACATGTGACGCTGAGGACAATTGTTTGAGTTCATTTGCGTCTGTCACACCCAAAGATGAAGATATTAACATATAACATAGGAACCCTTGGTTCTCACTTTTGAATATCTAATTTTGCAAAATAAGTGGAGATTCACTCCTGAGTGGTGGATTATGCACCGGATAAGTTTAATGTCACAAGGACAGAAAAAAGTTATCAGAAAGAGGAGCAACATAACTAGGACATAAAAACTTGTCCTAGAGAACTAATCGTCAAATCAAGATTTCACTCTAAACGATGGTAAAAGCTGCCATGTTTTCAAGAATTTCCAGATATATGAATGAAAATAGAACAGAAAGTAATGGATGAGTTAATCAACTAGGGGAGGGAGGAATGAAAAATTAGAAAATATAAGATTTAAAAAAAAAAGAAAAAAAAAGTATATGTCCAATCAGATGTGTCATCTGATTTTCATCTAAATATAATCAAAAGCCCTCAATCCGAGAAAATGGTTAGAAGATCGAAAACTGAATTTCGAATACATCTAAGGAGATGGGGAGGGGAGAGAACCAACAAAGAATAAGGGAAAATAAGAAGCATTCAAAAACTAAATCAAAAACAAACAAATATCAAGCACAAATCTCATCTTATTTTCAACCAAAGATAAAGCAAAAGCCTTAAATCTGAGAAAATGGTGAGAAGAAAAGTAGAAAAGTGAAAGGAAAACAGAGAGATGGTGATATGGGAATGAACTGGGGCAGGGAAAACGAGTGTTATATAGTGGTGAGAAAATCTGCCGTGATAAAACCGGCAGTCAATGCAGCGATACGCAATAAATTGGGCCTTATCCATCTACCAACATGCCAGCTCATTTAGCGTATTAGCATTAACCATTTTTAGCCGGTATACGATTTTGCAAATTATATTCGTAGGGTTTGACAGTACCTTACTATGTTTTGTGGACTCTTCATTAGCCATTCTTGGATTTTCGAAAGAGATCGTAAGCCCAATATCCACTGCTAGTAGGCCTGTCCATTAGAAAACAGAAAAACCGGTTTGCATTTTGCCAAACTTAATACCAAACCAAAAAAATGGTTTGGTCCGTAAATTCGTCCGAATCGGGTAGAATTGAATATTCTGAAAAAATGAGAAAAAAAATATAGAATTTTTTCTTTGGCATTTCATTAAACAAAACCGAAGCGCTTGTAAATTGTACTGAACTTACTTTGGTGATGCTGAAAACTGATTGTTTTTCTTGGTTTTGGCATTTCATCTCAGTCTTGATCGCTCTTAGCCAACACCATTATTCTCTATTTAGATTCTGCATAGCCAATAAAATTGCAATGAATTAAAAAACGAACTTAAGAACTTACTAACTGACATTTTTCTTATGTAGAAAGAGAGAACGCAAACTAGCCAATAATAAGAGACATGACAATAAAATGAATGTATGTATGTATGTATGTATGTATGTATGTATGTATGTATGTATGTATGTATACATGGAAATGATCTCTATTTCAATCATATACGTAGAAGAATAGAAAGCATTTCTTCACTTTTCAAGCCAATAGTACAACTAACATTTTACGAGTATCTTTCTCTACAAAATGCATATCATGACCATTTTCATCGTTCGAGCATGCAAACCACCATTTCAGTTATTGGAGTTTCAACAACTTGCGAATTGATGCAAATTAACATATAGAAACTTGATATTTGCATCGGACGACATGAATCAGAAAATGCCGAATGCGGCTGGAAAACATTGAATTAGATTTCTGGAAATGAAAAATAGATCCAGATAAACTTCAAAGTAACATCCACGGTTAAAACGAACTCGAAGAATTAGATAGCAATAATAATAAGCAAGGGTTGTTTACTACACTACTTGAAAACCGAAAAGGAGATGATACCAATCAGACAATTAGTGAATTTCATAATCTCACGAACAGATCGACAAACGAAAAAAATAATTAATTACTGCAAAAAATTATTCATGAGTATCAATATCAAATATAAAATTGAATCTCAATATTAACTTACCTAAATTATCACAATCAGGAAAACTACAATCACCAACTCAGCATTGTCCACAATATAATAGGACGGAGGCGTGCCTTTGGTGAAGTCGGCGGCGGCGGTGGCGGCGAGCGGTGGCGGCGGCATTTGACTAGCCGATCAAAATAATTAGCCAAAAAGTGTATATATATGTATCATTAGAATCCGCAAGATAATTAAGAGATGATTATGATTTTTTTTTTTTTATCAGAGAGATGATTATGATTTATATAATCAAAATACTATCAAATATAGAATAATTATACTTTTGACCCAAATACTAATCCTATATTATTTTTCCTCTCCAATTTTCTCCAGTTTGGGTCGGTCGTGTAATTTGAGTGTTAATAAAATAACCCTTTCAACCCCCATTTCTTACCTATATTTTGTTTAGCCCCAATTTCACTTGATTTATCAATTTCATCCCAAAAATCATGAAGTCATGATATTTCCCAAAAATTATACATACTAAGCAAATGCTGTTGTATATGCAATACTAATTCCATATGTACAAGACCAAATCAGAGAAAGATTTCAAAAAATTTCATTTTATTAAGATGAAATGATAAATATACCCATAAATTAAATTGACTTTTGTTTGCTCATGCAAGACCAAATAACAAATAAAGAAAAATAAAACAAAAAGAAGAAAACAAAGATAACGTGAAATTTAAAAAAAACTCAGCCCCCTATGAAACCTATGGATGGCAATGGGTCGGTTCTGGGGTGGATTTGCCTAAATCCGAGACCCGAATCGCGAAAAATATATAAAATTCAGACCTGCTTCAACTCGGTTCAGCTTAGACCCAGACCCGCCCCAACTCAAACCTGAATTGAAGGGTTCTGACTCGCCAGACCCGTTAACATAAAATAAAATCTATTATTTTTTAACTGTCATAATATTTGCTTCTATATTTTTTAACAAAATAATCTAAAAATTAAAATACAATATCTATATATTCTATATATAATATAAAAAGAGGATCTATGCCATCAATGATTGACATGTGGCAAATAATGATGTCATTTTTCAAAATTGCTTAGTTGGAGTTTAATTGATGAGGTGGATTCTTCAATTGGTGAGTTTAATTTTATTTTGGTATGTATTTAAGTTATTTCCTATTTAACATTTATACACTCATTTAAACAATTACCACGTGTATATATATTATTTCAAAAATTAATATTTTATAAATTCAAAATAAAAAAAATCTTAGTTACATTTCCAGTATTTCAAAATGTATTTATTGGTAGTCTTTTTAAAAAAAATCAGTACACCCAATTTTTTTATGAATATTCAAATAATTTTCAGAAAAAAAAAATATATTTTTAATATTCAAATATTAAAATAAAGGAATATATTTTTTTTTAATTTTCAATATTCGGGAATATTCGAATATCCATTCAATAAAAAAATATTTAAAAAAATATATTAATATTATAATTAACATATTAAAATTCGATTTCAAATTAACATATTAATAATATATTATGAATTAAAATTCGATTTAAAATTCGAATTTTAAGCATTAAAATCCGAATTTTAATAATGCATCAAAATTCGATTTCAAATTAACATATCAATAATATATTATGAAATTTATAATTTTATTATTAAAATACAAAAAAAAGGACAAAAAAATAACGTGTATGTTTTATTTATTTTAAACTTTTCTAAAATCAGAATATCATTTTATGATATTAAATTTAATTTCTTACCTATTTAAGTTAATTATATTTAATGATATTGTTATTGTAATGAAAATATTCAATAACCATAAATATTGTTTAATATTTTAAAATTAATTCCTTATCAATAGAAATCAAATCATCCAATTGAATTGATTTGATTTCTTACCTTTTCTCTTTTTTTTTTTCACCTATAATCATGTCATTTGAAGTTTGAATTCAAAAATTTTCCTAATTACTATATATTTATCAAAACTAAATAAACCCCCATCTATTTATTTCACCCTACACTATTCTTCTTCACCCATTCCATTCTAGTTGTTTTTGTTTTTCGTTTTCTCTTTTTGGTTTTTTTTTTTTTTTTTTTTTTTTTGTAATTTTTTTTCAATTGATTTCATGCATTTATCGTATTATAATTTAATTTAGATAGTTTAAATCTGTTTAATATTTTTATTTCACTGAAGAACTATTCTAATACTTTTTCTTTATGTATTTCTTGCAGATGTTGTTTACGAATCCATCTTATGTCTTATGTGCTACATTGTTACGGTTTGCATATATTTTTTGTAATTTCATTTATTTATTTTTTTATGTAAAAGTTTGTATTAAGTTTTTTAATTTAATTGACTTATTTTATCATTATCCAAAAATCGATTATTGCTTTGTCAAACAGAAATGAAAGATATTGACATTGAATCATGTATTGCATGTGGATACGTGGAAATCAAAGATTTTTTTTTATTTTTCTTTGATTTTGAAAAGATGATTGGACAATATTGTTGTATGTACAAGTTTCACCACAATTGACTTGTATCATCTTTTGAATGTTTTTATTTTTTATTTTTGTAAATAATAAAAGCAAACAATTTATGTACTTTTGCTTCATTAGTGCAATTATAGAGTTTTATTTTATTTTATTATAGTTTACATATTTTACATTCATTATAATTTTCTATTTCATGTTTCAATCTTAATTTTTTTGAATAAATAACTACATTAACATTAAAAATATTCAAATATATTCGTTTGAACGTCCATTTTTTATGAATATTCAAATAAATTTTAAGAATTTTTTTCATTGTAATAATTGACTAATTTTAATATATATATATATATATATATATATATATATATATATATATATATATATATATATATATATATATATATATATATATATTTTTGTGATTTAATACTTAATTGTAGCATGATAATTAATGATATTTGAAATTTTTATTGTCGCAAGAAATTTATTGGCAATTTTTCATGGATAATTATTAAAAAAAAACACTATTTACACGTATTTTACGAGGTGGATATGGCGAGTCAACTTAATAATTCGGGGATCTTGATGGGGAAGTGGAATTTTCTCGCGGGATGGGAATGTGGATTGCAAAATCCGCCCGATACCCACCCCATTGTCATCCCTATTGGAATACGTATATGACGTACTATATTAATTATTTATTTTGGCGATTACTAAGGCAAAGTTCATGCGATGTTATTTGTTCCAATATCTTAAATTATACTAAGTTTATATTATCCTTTTTTTATCGTATTTTATTGAATTAATTTTAAATCTTGAACTTGACTCCCGTGCATCGCACGTGTGAGATACTAGTTTTAAAATATTTCTAGAACCGATATAAAATGAATAATAAAATTATATAATTAATTATATTTAACTTCTACAATAAGTATCAAAGGGCTAGACAACTAGTGAAACCCGGCAAACCCGTACCCATTGCCATCCCTAGTGAAACCCTACCCTACGCCCAAGCTCCGCTAACGACCGCCGCTCTTGATGTCTTGTACATATTTTTGAAACCTTTGATGAATTTGGACAATAAACTGCGTCTTTGCATTGGCCTGTTGCTATAAAAAATAAATGAATAATAAAATAAAAAGTAATTGCTAAATAAAAAGTTAAAAAAAATATGAAACAACTAAATTTCGACATTAAGGTATCGTAATATATGTCCATAAATTCGACACCTTAATATCGAAATTTAGTATATTTGAACTAATTTGCTAACAGTTAAATTTCGACACTAAGGTATCATTTTGTACTCCAAAATCGACATCGCAATGTCGATTTTTACATATATAATTCGACATGTACATGTCGAACGCGTATGCGCGGGATTGTTTTTGGAAAAACGATATTCTAGCTAAAAAACACAGAAATGCATACCTTCTTGAGGTTTTCCACCGTAAAATCTTCTATTTTGATGTCTTCTGACTCCATACTTGCCATCTTTGTAAGATTGGTTAAGTTTTGATGATTTTGAATGCTTAGGTTTTGTGGGTTTATGGAGGAGGAAGGAGAAAGATACTGTAGGTTTTGGAAGATAGATAAGATGAGAGTTGATCTTGTGATTGTGTGATATGGTTTTTTTGTGTTTTTGTCACATTTGGATTTTTTTATTTTTTTAACAAGTAAGAGTATTATAGTATTTATACATTGAAATTTTTAATTTCATGTTGCACAAGTAAAATTAATCTTGCATACAGCCGTAATAAAGACAACAACATTGTTGGTTAACACACTAATATTGTCAAGAAAAAAATTAAATATTGATGTATTGACAGTCAAAAGAGTATATTGTCGATCAGTAAAACAATACTGTCAGAAGAAATGATTAACTAAAAAAATCATTAATGTTGTTGTATTGGCAGGGGTAACACACTACCACCGTCACTGCCCTTATTTCTTCTTCCACTGTAAAACTACACTTTAAGTAAATAAATTAATAAATAATTATTCTTGAGAATGGAAATAAGTAACTAAGACATTATAAATATGGGACAATTTGCTAAAGGTCCCTCTATATTATAAGTTATCTGTAAATCTAAGTCAAAATTTAATGTTTTAATAAATTAATAATATTTATTATGGCAAAAATACTCTTAATTAAATTAAATCAAATCCCAAAAAATCTCCTTATCAAAACAAGTTCCCAAACATCTCTCTTCCAAATATTAACTAAAATAAATAAATTAATTCATAAAAATATACAATTTATTATACAAACTCATACTCTAAAAATGCCACCGCAGCCCCACCACCGTTTATGATCCGGGAACTGCGACGCCTATGACTCCGCGAACTGCAAATAACAAACTGAAAAATAGATTTTAGATTATTGAATTGCAAACAACAAAATACCTATGATTTCGCCAAATGCAAACAACAAATTGAAAAAACAAAATCCATAATTTGTATTAAATACTGAATTACAAACAAAAAATTACATCTATATGACTTCGCCAAATGCAAACAGTAAACTGAAGAAAAACATTCAGCAAAACTTGCATTATTGAATTGCAAGCAATAAACTACCTATGACTTGGCCAAATGCAAACAGCAAACTGAAAAAAAATAAAAAAAATCAGCATCCTTGAAAACATCAACCAAAAAATTGTTTATGGAACAATTTGCAAACAACAA